GTGAGCGGTGCTCACGGCTTCACTGCAGCTGCACGTGCAAATAAAACACGATTGATAGGCCTGCCTTGCTGACAGCCGCTAAATATTGCGCGAAATGAATAATGTTGATTTTTTTTCTCGGAATGAAATGACCATTCGGCAACTCTTAAACTAGTGGTGCAGTAACCACACGGCGGACACTTACTGGAGGTATAAAGTCAAGAATCGGAGAACCTGCTCAGGTTGGGAGCATCCTTCGACATCACTAACATGGATTCTCACATCGTCGACTATGGAAGGCCTTGATATTCTATTTTTACTCTTAAGATTTGAGATAGCGAGTTAGTTATAGAAGCATCCGAGGTATGGATGCACCTCAGCAGCATCAGTTTCCTAGAACCCCCATACCGACTTTTGAGCGGTCTTTAAAATCTTGTTAGCAGGATTTGTCTAGATGGACTCAACTTTGAAACACAGCCACTGTTCTCATTACGCAATAGGACGGAGGTCAATACCCACTACAAATTACATTGCTTAGATAATGGAATCTATAAAAAAAAATCATTGCTGCGTTATTATCGGACTATGATTCCTACTGTGTCCCGTGGATGGAAAAACTAGTCAGCCTTCCCAGAAATGCATCAAAAATATATGCGTACTTCCAGGACTGTCAAAACAAGTGTTTGTTTGCTTGCAAACAAAGATTGGTGGGAAAATGTACTTTTTTCACCTCAAAAAAAATGATGCCTATAAAGAATAAGCAAAAAGAATTGAGTGGGAGAATTTTGATGTGGAAAACTAAAAAACTGAGAGGAAAAAATCAACTGTTGCGCGCACCAAGCATTTCAGAACATACGATTTTACACAATTTTTCGCCGTAGCAACATCGTTGAGACAGCATACATTCTCATAACCTCGGGAAATTTCAGACTCCTAGCTCAATTGGCTCCCAAATTTGCTTTCCTGTCAAATATTTTGTCATGCACATTTGTTTTGCCATGCTCATTTCACGTTTATGAAATCATACGGCGACAACAAATGCAACTATCCTCGTAAAATAAAAAACCTACTCATTAGTTCCCAAGTTGGCCGCCGTCTGAAGATGAGATTACGATCTCGGAGGAAGAAAACTAAGCGGGCAAAATTGAAGCGTGGTGTAAAACGGCAAAATGAGTTTTTTTAATGATAATGGCAAGTTCGAGCAACTGGTTATCCTATAGAATTATCTTAAATTCGCTGGCTTTAACTGTTTTCATAAAACTCAGGGCAATAAAAATTTAATATTCTTCGCGAACAAATAACAAATTCCATAAATTTTGCAAAAACTACTTCACAAAGAACACTAAAAGTTTTACAACGGTCGCAAGATATCCTAATAAAATTTAAGCTCAGTTTCCAGAAAAAATGAAGAATAATTTTTCAAACTTTTCAAACAACTGCATGAGCAAATTGTATGCTTGAATAACGACATTTTCTGGAACTGCGAGAAGTCCCGCGGCGTGCAAGTGAATAACTACACTTGTGCCACAAACAGATTTAACAAAATTCCCTAATATGCTGCATAGCGACACAAAAAAGTGACATCAGACTGCATGAGCGCGCGAAAACGAGCGCAAAAATGAGAAATTTACGGAAGATGGTGGCGGGAGATTTACGTTTGTTTCCTATACTTCATAGAATTCAGTGGGCGAGAAACTCGCAGAACTGCCGTATTTACAAATATACATTTTGATACTTTGGTCATGTACTCTATGGCTTTAACTTTTCCAGTTGCTCTGTCCACTGGTGCATCGTCTGATGCTCAGCTTGTTGGTGACTCTGATGTTCGTTTCGTCATAAATACATATTACAAACGTTAGTCGTAAGTACCTACGACGAAAGGAAAACGCGCAGAACGTGGAAACGTCACTGGCTGCCGACTGGTATTTTTGCATCCGTGGGATATTTTCAAGATAAGGAGAAATGGTGAGGCACGTTAAGTGTCCGAAGATCCAGAATACTATTTTTCTATTGCTGCAGCTGCTATTGTTGATTTTATTGTTATTATTGTTGATACTTATGTCACTGAATTTGTTGCTGGGGCCTCGGGCACCACCACCACAGGGTACCACAA